GCTGCTAAACACAGTCCACCCAACACATAGAGTACTCTAGTGTTCATCTCTGATGAGTCCGAAGCTATGATAATTCACACGGACAAACATCACAGGAGCTGAAAGAGGATGTATGAAATAAACTAACTAACTTATCCTAATGTTTCCTTCACAGTTCCTCTTTTGTCTGTATTGAATGTAACATAACTTCACTTTAAATATAATACTGGTCAAAGGGCTCCATCTGCTGACAGCAGTCACAAATTACACAGGACAAAGTGCACCTTGATGGAGGACCACATAGTTGTCACAAAGTAGCTGGAGATGGCCTTCAGAATGAGCTGAGCAGCCGTCTGCTTCGGAAAACTGTTTCTATAGAGGAGAAGCAAAGCAAAGCATGCAGCACATTATGCTTCAACAACCACCTGATGGCAGTGCAGCAAAAAAATAAATAAATCAGCATTTAGCAATTGGTAATGACTTTGAATTTCTTGATCTCAAATGGATGAGAAAACTACTTAGTATATCATTTTCAGACTGATCAGCTGTACATTTTCCCATTTCCCCCTTACATTATTAATGAACTGAAAATTATCTTTTTCTGCACAACATGCATATCTTTGAAACAAATGTATTTATAAAAAAAAACAGTTTGCAACATCTATTATTAATATTGTTAGTTGAGGTTTAAATATATCCCTTTAATTCTAAATTAGCCTATTAACTACTAACCTATTTAATAAAACCAACCTAATGTGTATATATTCTTTGTTTAGATTTTTTTTCTGTATTGTGATGTACATTCGAAGGAAAACCAAAAAATGTAGGGCGGGACTTGGTTCTATGCATCAGTTGTTGATTGGATGTTGGAAGTGTGGGCGGGGCTCTTAAGTGTATGCAGATGAGTGTGAGCATGCAGGGGCGGAGTTTAAGAGCACAAATGTGGTCAAAAAAAGAAACATGCATTCATAGATTGTTCACAGTAAGATGCATTTAAATAATAGATTGAATTGAATTGAGTGAATTTTCATTTCCATTTCATGTCAAATTTAATATTAGGGCAGTGAATTTGTTTTATTTCTATATTTACTACGGCTAAAGTTGTACCTGCCGCTGCTGATGGAAGGAAAGACCACAGATTTGAGCTTCTTCTCGTCAGGGACAGCGAGAGCCAGACAGTTCTTCACAGTCTTATCCAGCATCTCCTCACATTTATCTGAGCCCCAGCCTGGACTGTTACAGTGGCAGGAAGACCGTATCCTGAGGCCATGGCCGCTGAGGAACGTCAAAGATAATGAACTTATCAAACATACACTGCAACTAATCTGGCACGATCCACCCGCCATAAACCATAACCAGAAAGTTCAGTTATCACACCTCAAGCCTGACAAGCCCGAGGCGTGTGTCTGTCCGCTAGAGGGTGAAGTTTATTTAGTTATGTAAGAAAGACATCTGCTGTAAAAAAAAAAAAAAAAAAAAGTCTCTACGTTTAAGAGCATTTAGGTTAAAAACAGTTCATAATGTATGCATAATATTCCCAGTTGTTCAAAAGAAATCAGATTTTGGCTGTCGGATTGGATCAGATTTTGAAAATGGATTGGTAAAATAAATAAATAAATAGATGAAAATAAATGAAATTTAATTAGATCAAGTAGATTACTTACAAATTGTTGTCCATTACTGATTACAGATTACATAATGAAAACTGTAGTTAGTAACATAATCTTGGTTATTTATTTTAGTTTAGATTACTTTTTTTTTTTATCTAACTTGTTTTAAACTTACCATTATCAAAAAGAAATAAAATATATTCTTTTTTTTATATATATATCAACATCATAAAATGCATTAAACATTACATTACAGCTGGGGAAGAACTGCAGTGGGTTTGTGAAAAAGCTAATAATTAATTAAATCATAAATTTTTTTTTAAAAGTATTTAAACACTTGAACACTAAAAATAGAAATATTTAATTTGTTTGACAGTCGATGTGATCAAACATGCAAATGTGTTAAATTATTGAAATATTAACTTCCACAGAGATATTTCAAGTAAATATTTTATTTTAAGGTGTTTGGCTGACAAAATATTTTCGGACTCCGTGCATTACATGAACAAACATGAATAAACTTGAAAACAGCAGTGACATCACACACCCAGAGTCTTCACGGTCTGAATATTTTTGTCCAGAATCAGCAGTTACTGAAGGTCATGGATATGATGCAGACACAGTGTTTCACAGCTACATCACCAGTGTTTAGTAACTTAAGCACAATTATTTGTTTCATACATGGTCTGATTGCTTGAGAGGTGCTTTGTTCCACCCAAATTCAGGAGCATGGTTTGCACATTTATTTGCACAGCGCTGCGAGATCTAGAGAGCCACATATTTATAGTCTAATAAATATATTCGAACCAAATGTATATACTGTTAGTATTAGTATAGGCCTACTTGTTTTTTTTATTATAGCCCATGATAATTAATACATTACAAAACATTGTAAAAATAAAAAATGTACCTTATAAGGGACGGGAACACAATCGTATGAGGAAACAAGAGCTATGATGAATTTGTACTAATTTGTTCATTTGAGCAGTTTAAGAACTGTCTTTAGTGAGCTATTTGAGTTTGTTTGTACATGTCTATGAAGGGTGGGGAAGAAAAAACACAAACTGGATTGTTTTTGCGTCTGGTTTTAAACTCATGATCTGCTTTCATTTTGAAAGGGTTTGTTTTTGGAAGGCCTGTTAATTCCCAAGTGCATGCTGTTGAACGTTTTGTAAGATGAGCTACAATACATGGTGAAAAGAGGGAAAATCAGATGAAAAACAAACAAAAAACGAGTCTGATAGATACATTCAATCATTTAATTTAACGTGCTTGTTTAAAATGATGTTTGGCAACAATGGTTTCTGTAAGTCAAGAAGCATGACTGAAGATGATTATAAGGTCTTCAATCAGCAGCTGTTTTAAAAGGAATATATTTCGCTTGACAATTATACAAAGTTAAGTGAGTAAATATAGCTTGGTCTGATGGTCGAGCAGCTGGATTGAACATAGTTTAGATCATTTGGTTTGTAACTCGATTTACTCCAGCATATTTGCAGTTTATTTTCTTGACAATAATCAGAGTTATGAATACCACCAGCACACACACAGACAGAATGAGTGGTAATAAATAAGAAGGCACTCCATTACTGCACTCCGCATCAGTCGTGTCGGTTCCTTCCCTGATGGTTATTTTGCCAAGAGGTTCACAGCTGTTAGAGAGACGTACTCGAGTTGAACTACACATGTATCTCTTCTGAAAAGATCTTGATTTAACCACAAAATCTACTGAAGCAAATAATAAAACAACAAACGTCTAAATTTCATTTAAGAAGGTGTGGAAAGTCAATGCTGTGCAATAATGATACTTACTTTGTATGCAATTTGCAGAATGTATCATCTGAATATGAACCAACAGGACAGTCATCACACACTGTATCAGTCAATTCTGTTCCTACAAACACATGCAGAGATACATAGTATCAGTACTTGTGTGTTTCAACTCCACGAGCAATAGAGGCAGGTCTAACATTAGCTAGTGGCATCATTTTTCAGTACGGCATCTGACACATACATAACTAACAATCTGCCTAATCATAATTTAGCAGGTTTTTTTGAGGTGGTTTTGTCAGGTGCTGTCAGAGTCACAAGCAATGTCTGTCATGAGGAAAAACATTCACAGTACTTCCCCCAAGTGCAGTAAAGAGTTGTAAAGCTGCTTTGGAACAATATGCATGCATCCATAATTCAGTTATTTAATATAAATGCAAGCAGAGTTACTGTTCTCAGATGACATCTAAGCCTTATGCATGTATATTAAAGCTGTTTGAATGATAAAAGACTGACCTGTTTGGTTGATGTATTGTCCGGGTGAGCAGGTTGAATATTTCACGGCCTTTTTACAGCTTGAGAGCAAGTCTATACAGTAATAACCTGACAGAGGTTCACAAACTGTATTTGATATTAATGTACATTCCTGCTTTACTCTCAGCCCATTACCTTTGACAAAAAAGGAAATATCAATTGTAGAAAACCTGCCAATGGCAAGTCAGCTGCAGAACAAATCAAGTTACAATACATTTGAAACAAATTTGTACTCACTTGTGTCACAGACAAAACATGGCAAACATTCTGTCAATCCGTTAGGAGAGGTAGTGTAAGTCATCGCAGGGCATAGAGCGCATGTTGTACTTGTATTCTCATCACAATGTTTCTTAACTTGCTTTCCTAGGCAATATAAATGGACACATATTTGTAATTACATAAGCTGTATTTATTGTATTTATTGTATGTCTGTATATTTCTGTCAATCGTCAACATTAAGCATGTTCCTTATATTCTGTGTCTAGTTTTATTTTGGAATTTCCAATGACACAACAAAGTTCTCAAATCAGAACTGAACTGAATCAGGGAATCTGTGTCGATACCCAGCTCTAGACTAACTAGAGTCATGTTTTGTGTATATATATATATGTTAATATTTGTTAATGCAATGATGTCTGACACACTCAAAACACATCCAGATGTTCACTATAGATCAAGTCTGTAATGATATACATTATGTGGCCTTTTGTTCCTGGAGGCCACTCAACAGAGAACTTTTTGGAAGTCTCCTCTTGAAATACTACCAAGATGATGACGCCTTAGAATGGTATTTTTGATTAGGGAGACAAAATGTGGATAATCAAACAGTTGCTGGTCCTCACTGACTTCCACAGAATGGAAAAAAGTACAGTGGGAGTATCTCAGCAGAAGATGGAACTCAACTTAAGGGTGAGTAAATGATAACAGAATTTAGTTTTTCGGTCTGTCCCTTTAAAAGATTGTTTTTTGAGTCTGTTCCAGTTGTTGGGCTCATCATCAGTAATAATGATGAGACAGTTCTAAGCCTGTACCACGGCTGTGGTGATGAGAGAAGAAGAGTTGGACTTACCTGGATCACACATCGGGCAACACTCCCCGTTAACTTCATATTCTGCATTATTACAAGCTGCCATACAAAACATGATGTTCATGATGAGAAGAGGCAGTGTTACATGAATGAAGGTATAGCACATACACATATCAGGGAACTAAAAGAAGCGTCACTGGTCCGGTGATCGTTTTGCCCTCTCTTTTTCTGATAGAGCTGAAAAAGAAATGTTAGATGGCTTTCAGAAAAATAGACAGAAATTGTGCCATAACCTAAAAATGAACTAGACACACCTGAACCAAATGACTAATCAAACTAGAGGGAAAACTAGGTCACGGAGCACAAGGGGAGAAAACACACACACAAACAGTCCTTACTCCTGACAAATATTGTGAAATATTTTTACTATTTAAAACAGCTGTTTTCTATGTGAGTATCTGCTAAACTGTAATGTATTTCTGTGATGCGCAGCTGTATTTTCAGCATCATTACTCCAGTCTTCAGTGTCACATGATCTTCAGAAATCATAATAATATGCTGATTTGCTGCTCAAGAAAACCCATTTATTAGTATTATCATGTTGAAAACAGCTGAGTAGAATTTTTTCAGGATTCTTTGATGAATAGAAAGTTCAGAAGAACAGCATTTATTCCTGCTAAATATATTCAAATAGAAAGCAGTTATTTTAAATTGTAAAAAATATTTCACAATATTACAGCGTTTTCTGTATTTCTGATCAAATAAATGCACCCTTTGTGAGCAGAAGAGACTTCTTTAAAACACGTTCAAGATCTTACTGTTCAAAAACTTTTGACTGGTTGTGTATACTGAATTAAATGTAAAGCATTATTGTGTAAGTGTACATTTTTAAATAGTTTGAACAGCTACAAAAATGCACATCACTTACCGTTTGCCGTTTTCTCTCTATTGGCAAAACAACATATTCCACATGTAAACTCTAAACTGATTCATTTTTATCCGACCCCCTGTGACTTCATGGGATTCTCCCGTTCATGAGACCTGAGTCACTCTTCAATGCTTCTCTCTTTTAAATCACATGCTCAGAAGCGCTGTTCGATTGGGAAAGTCTCGCTCACTTACGTCCTGTTGCATGCACTTTCAAAACTCGAAGCACGCACCTGTGTTTATGGCGGTTGGCATAAACGGCACACATCTGTGAGGCCCCCACAGAGAACGAGATGGGGCCCCTCCCACCAGCAGTGCTGTCATGCATGAAACTTTATTACTGCTGCTTCATGTTATTCAGCTGTTTTTGAAGCATGAAAAATATGCTGTTCTGCCTTGTTTGTCGTTGTTTAAACGCATTTTGGGACTTGACGGATGTCCGGATGGAGATGATGGAGATGACATCCACACAAGTTGGTTGATAACATAACTGCAATAAAGTAATAGCCTAGTTAACAATTACTTGTTTACATAGGATATATAATGTAGGCTATTTTATAGGCTATAGTTTGACAGAATGTTCTAATTCAACATGCCATGGGAAGTCACTCTAACTTAACATTGTCTTATATTGATATTGTTTATTTCTTACTCCTTAACAGTTCATCAGGCTCGTAATTATTTAATCTATGCCATCTCTTGGAATATCTAAAGGCCAGGTTTTTCCATCACTCATCATTAGAACCCATTTTTACACATGGCTCTCGGTTCTGACTTTACTTGCTCTCATGAAAATGTACCATAGTTCTTAACTGTAGCATTTGTTATAATAATGCTAGCCTATGAACCTTTTTTTATTAATCTATATAGCATTTGTTATGAAAAACAACAGCCTGCACATTTAGAAACAATAGCCACAACATGTCACATTTGTAATATAAATCTATTTGGGAAAAATCCATTCCCTTATAAATTCTACAAGTTAGACTAAATTTACCACAATAAATAAGTCTACAATAAAACGTGCTTGTACTTGCTAGTTTTGGTTATTGGGGGGTTACCTCCCCCCAGTGACTCGTGTCTAGATGGCAGTAAATTATTATTTTCAGCGAGTATTTGGCTTAAAATCACGAGTGTTTGATCATGAATGCCGGCTGAAGGTGTTTTAGATTATGCGCTGGTCAATGGTTTAATCATTCTGAATGGATCCGTATTGCTGTGGCGAGCGGTGACTTTTTTAACCGGGTATGCTGAGTGATAAGACCCCCCCTATCGGTTTTTAAGACACTCAAAAGGGATCACAGATGACAAATAAGAAACACCGTGGCAGGTGTCGATTTAAAAGTATGCACATTTCCTACCTTATTTGTAAATGAAATTCATCTCCAATCCTTCTTCTATCGTTTCAGGTTTATCCATTGTTATTCGAATGCAAGAAAATTATAGCTGGTGTTCCAAGTAAAAACCACCAAATAAGATTTACACATAGTTATGTTATGACAGTAATCAGAGGGTGGAGATTGGGGGGGATTCCCCCGCTCTATATGTCTCTCTGCATCAGCTAAATAATTTTTTATTCACAGTGAATAGGAGTTAAAACTGACAAGTGTTTGATCTGATTTGGTTTATTAGACAAAAAAAGTAGTGACACTCGTTAGTCCAGGATAACACAAGTTAAAAACTTGTTAAAGTTAAAAGGCCCGTGTTCTTACATGGCTTGAAATCACAGCAGAAATGTTCATAAGTCGGGAGATTTCTGGCAAACACAGTGGACCAAACTTCACCAAGCCTTGGGTGGAAATGAGGCGGCCATGTTTTTTATCGGTTAGAGGAGTAGTAAACCTTGTTTTTAACCTTTACGTGGCCCCCCCTGCAGTCAGGACCAAATCAGCTAAAGTTCACTTAAATAAAACCATTTGGACACTGACCACTGTATTCTGCAACAACAAACTTTTTTATTATATGCATGAACATCTGTAGAGTGTTTTATGCACGAATAGAAATCTTTTCTTTTCTTTTTGGTGTTTAACAGGGACCATGTTGGTGCCAACGCTGGCTTTCTGGTTGTTTAACGCCCTCCTGATGGTGGTGGACACGACTGGAAAGCCAAACTTCATCACACGTTACAGGATTCAGCCTGACAGAAACAATCCGGTACGTCCTTCAACAGCCCATCACTGCATATCATTACCGTTTCAAACGGCACACGATTCCTCCCACAGCACAGCGTCTCGTAATTACTCCATTTAAACTGAGCACTCATTTAAAAAAAATCCTCAGTTACAATTTACCCATCTCGAGTAATTGGTAAAATACCAGAAGTGCCATTCTTGCATTCTGTACAAGGGCTGCATGATACCGTATATCAAAATAAAATTGGTTCGTGGAAACCGTTTCAGCAGATTTGTAACGAGAACCTGTTGCTAACGAAGGAGAAGCTTTAATTTTGATTTCATGGGGACTTTAAGGGCTCTCTGCAGTCAAAATAAAATCTCGTTGGTTTAACATTTGAAAATGATGAAATTAAGATGTAAATATTAGTACTGTGATTTTATCTTGTTGTACTATGAAATAAAATGATTATTTTTATTAAATAGAGTTCATAAGTGAAAAGTAGATATTAAATAAAATATGTCTTTCTAAATATGTAAACCGTTCTTCATTGCAAAGACAATGAAATCCAAACCCCTGCTGAGAGTTTGCATGTGTAATATTCACAAAATTACAGTCGCTCTATCATAACTCAGAGGATGAAGTGGCCAAATAATAAAGATCTTTTGAATTAAATGTAATGTTGCCAGGATTAAATAAGGATTTGATCGTGCTGTAAAGTCTAACAACACCAGTCCAGTTCATCCACATAAATATTACGGTAGTCATCATTACGTAATGATTTAGAATGAAAATTGTGACCTGACTCATTTCTGCATATTTGATATATTCTGCTCATCTCTCTTTCAGTGTAGAACAGGTTCATGCATATTCTATTCCATTACGCAGTTTAACAGCATCGTTCAGTAAAACCATAATAGATTACTTACTTTTGATACTGTTATTAATTAAAATTGATACTAATTTATCCAGTTATTAATTTAAAAAAAAAATCAGATTAACTGATTAATCATTAAGATAATCAGTTGATTACTCAATTACCAAAACAATCGACAGCGTCAGTCCTACTATAATATAGAGAAGATCCAAACTCGATTTACTCATGAGCTCTTGCTAGGGCTGGCCAATATATTTAATATTCACACCACGCTTGCAATTATTTTACTGATGATTAAAGATTAAACAACATTAAAGGATCCTTGGTAACACTTTACAATAAGGTTAATGTATTAACTAACATGAACAGTACATTTATTACAGTATTTATTCATCTTTGTTAATGTTAGTTAATGAAAATACAGTCGTTCATGTTAGTTCACAGTGTATTATTAACTAATGTAAACAAGCACAACTTTTGATTTTAATAATGCATTAGTAAATGCTGAAATTAACTAAGATTAATAAATGCTGTAGAAGTGTTGTTCATGCTTAGTTCATGTTAACTAAAGTATAGTTAACTAATGAACCTTATTGTAAAGTGTTACTGAATTCTTCTTTGATTTTAATGCATTTATTATTTGACCGGTAAATGTCCTTAAAGCCTTTCAATTACACAAATGTTAAAATCCTTTCTTGTTTTGTGACTCACAAGCATTAATGCAGACATCTTTTAATAACATCTGTTTGAACGTGAAAACGATTAGATTATTATTAGATTTGGTAAGTTCAAGTCATTTTGGCAGATAATTTTTTCAAAACTAAATTTTGATGAATTGTTTTTAGAAAACAAGGCTTAATATCTGAAGTCATTTTGCTTCTCAAGTAAATACATCTTGATGCGGGAATGTTTAGATATTTGTACTGGAAAACAAGACATGTTAGTTCACAGTGTATTATTAACTAATGTAAACAAGCACAACTTTTGATTTTAATAATGCATTAGTAAATGCTGAAATTAACTAAGATTAATAAATGCTGTAGAAGTGTTGTTCATGCTTAGTTCATGTTAACTAGAGTATAGTTAACTAATGTCATAACAATTCTTAAGTTCAAGTCATTTTGGCAGATAATTTTTTCAAAACTAAATTTTGATGAATTGTTTTTAGAAAACAAGGCTTAATATCTGAAGTCATTTTGCTTCTCAAGTAAATACATCTTGATGCGGGAATGTTTAGATATTTGTACTGGAAAACAAGACATAAGAAATATTATTTTCGACTTTCAGAGAATCTAAACTCTACTTCGGTGATTCGTTTCGCAGCATCGCTCCAAAATGTTGATGTATTTTTTTCAAGTATTGAAATGGTTTAGTAAAACTAATATAGTTAAATATTGCTGTTGATGACTATGTATGAGTGTGAAATCATTGACAGTGTGGGGAATCTGGCTCGATGTGACTGTTGAACGTGCCAAGGTCCTGTCATAACAGTTCAGCTGAATGAAAATATTGCCCTGTAAATTCATAACTGCTGCTTTTGCTGATAACTGCATTAGTACTGATAATAATTTTAGCACACCTTGCATGAATTTAGATTACACAGCATATATAATCTTAAAATATCAGTCATAAATACTGTTTAGATGATATAGTGTATAACAACGTCTGTCTCTGGCAAAAAAAACGGAATAATGTTCTGTTTATGAGTTCAGAGCTCACTGATGACACTGTCAGCGATTACATGGAGCAACAGGTATTTAAAGGTCTGATAAAATGAATCTATAAGCTTCTGAACGGGTCAGACTGTTTGGACGGGCAGCACTAACCCCAGAGAAACACAGGTGAACTTCAGCAATGAAATCATTCCCATTGATGAATCCGAACACTGTCTTTACATGAGCGCTACATAAAGTCAAGTCGTGATTTATACGTCACAAGCTTCCAATCAGATTTAATATTTTGATATGCACACACTGCACTAAATACAGTTTCCCACTGTTTTGCATACTAACCATCCTGCTTTTCTTTGTTTAAAAAGCAGACTTAATATTGATCTATTTTGGGTCCTAATTAGGAGACGACAAGCACACCGAGTTTTGTGCAATGATGCTTATATTAATCAAGCAGAAAAAAGCTCATTCCCGCGTCCGAAACAATACGTCTGCACAACGTCATCCTGCAGCAGTTCACAGGCGATGAGTGGAAATAGAGCTTTAGATGGACATGACAGTCATTTATTATATTCAACAACATCAGCATCGGCTCGTTCCGTGTGTCATGCGTCATTGCACAAAACTTTCCAGTTTTGGTTTTCAATCCGATCAAGTGTTTACATGTCCTGTCGAACAGATTAGAAAAGGTTTATCCCACCCCTCTCTAGGGCTGTCAGAATGGCTGAAACACTAAATTAAAGTTTTGTACATAAATGTTATCAAAATTTGAATTATATTAGAATTTAAAATGCATAGCTTCAGTTAGGGTGAAGAAAAGCTTTTGGCTTCTCTCCTGAGGCCACAAGAGGGCGCATCGAGCAAAATATTACTAATGCACGTTTATTCAAAGCATAAGATAACATGACTATCTGTGAAAAAAGTGCATAATGTTTAAAATAATGTTTATGAACCAATTATAATTAAGTTGCTTAAACAACTATAAACAAAACCACATCATGCATGCATGCATAGTTTGGGCTAATAATATATAATATTATTATAATAATATAATAATAATAATACAAAGGGCTGAAAGTCAATCACACAGAGTATATTTATCATTTAAAAACACGAGATGCAGTGGGATGGGGAGAAACCCGCCATAAAGTCTCGAGATATGTTTTTTCAAAGTTAAACTTGCATTAATTTTACATGGCTTTCTAAACATGCGGCTCTTTTGTGTGAGATGCGAGTGCAACGGTGTTAGATGTCCCTCTAGAAAATGCGTGAAATATGTGTTCTGTGTGAACGGCTTGGTTTCAGTTTTGATTCAGTTTTCAAGATTTTCTCTGCGTTGATGTTCTCTTTTCTGCTATATTTGTAAAGAACAACGCAGCAGCGCCGCATCTAGTGGCTTCAACTGGATAGACTAACAAAAACATTATAATGCAACCACACTTACATCGTCAGCTGATAAGGCTGCCTGACGCACACCTAAAATTGACAAGAATGTGGATTTTTATTTTAAATTCGATGAATATTCAAAATTCGAAATTTTTTTCTCAACCCAACTGAAAATGTGTATTCCGTTTACATGGAGCATTTTCATTCGGATTGCACTTTTAAACCGATTGTAATGAGAATACAGTGCTCCATGTAAACACACCTAATGTGTTGAATCACGCTGGTAAGTTGTGATGCCAAGCACCACTCGCATTTCACGGAAAATGTAAAAATCTAGTGAAACGACACATTGTAATTGAAGTGCTGTTGTGAACGGTCTCCCGACAGGTGGATGCGGCGCGGTTACGGTACGCGGTGAAGACGGTGCTCTTTAACCAGGTGTGTCTGTCTGGTCCTGTGGTGGTGCTCACCTACATGGTGATGAAGAGGCGAGGCGATCCGTGCGGCCCAGAGCTGCCCACCTTCCACTGGGTGCTGCTGGAGCTGGCCGTCTGCGGCCTGATGGAGGAGATACTCTTCTACTACACACACAGGTTAGCATTCAGAAAATTCACTTTGTTTCTGATGACATTCCCCTAACACAGTGCTGTCAGGGATGCACATACGTGCTACACAGGAGAAAAAAGTTCAGATCGCTCATTTGCGAAGCGACATGACTGACATCACCGTTTCAGATCGACTAACTGTAATACTGTATAAGATTTCCATTCCAACTGAAAGCATAAATCTAGGCTATGCGCTGCAGGTTTCAGAGGAAAACACAAAACTGTGACATTTCATTCACTGACGCGCTTCACTCGGCAATGCTAAACCCGACAGCGCATATAACTTACTTGCTGGCAACCTGCCAAAATAAAAACTTGCTGATTTTAGGTTTAAAAATGATGAAAATTCATATAAAGTAAAAAAAAAAGTAATAACAGAAAATGTAAATATTAGTATTGTATTTTGTAGGTATACTATAAAATATTAGATTTTTTATTTAATACTCACTTTTTATTTTAAAAAATATAATAGTATTATCGCACTAATTTATTTTTATTGTTTTATTTAAAAAAAATAAATAAATAAAGTGCAATAATACCATTATTACTATTAATTATTTTATTGTTTATATTTAACGGGTTAGGGTTAGCACCACACCAAATCTCCAGGTGCTCTGATGAGAACCAGACTGAGAAACTTATAGTGTTTCCAATATGAGATCTCCATTTATATAATCCATTTATTTAAGCCAGCAATTCCTGATTTACTGCATGTCTTTTTTCACAAAATCTTTTCTATTAGGCCTGATTTCAGACAGAACAGTTTGTGCTTCCAGTCATAAAACTGCAGCCATTGGAAAAGAAAGAGTTAAGAGTGATGGAAACCAATGATACATTATAGTGTTTTCAGAAATACATTTACACTTACTCATCTGCCATAAGCATTTGTCAAATGTGTTAGATGGAATGTTGACGTGTGTTTTTGGTCGTTCACTCATCTGCTGCTTTCAGGCTCGTTCACCATCCGTCGCTCTATAAGAGCATCCATAAGATCCATCACGAGTGGACGGCTCCTGTTGGAGTGGTGGCGCTCTACGCTCATCCGGTGGAGCATGTGGTGAGATCCGATTATTCAACATTATCGACAACGTCCACAATCGAATAGTCCTTTGATCTCATATGAACTAATGCAATAACGCGGTTTGACCAGTGTGGCGCTGTAGCACAAGACTGTAGTTCAGCACTCCGGGCTGCAATGTAATAGAAGAAGACACTGCGCTTATGAGACGTGCAAGCAAAGCCGAAGCAGTAGAGCAGGGCTGTCAAACTCAGTTCCTGGAGCCCTGCAGAGTTTAGTCCCAATCCTGCTCCAACACACACACCATGTAGTTTCCAAATGAGCCTGAAGGACTTGATTAGCTGGATCAGGTGTGTTTAATCAGGGTTGAAGCTAAACTCTAAACTCTCAAGGAACTGAGTTTGACAGCCCTGTTCTAGAGTGTGGGAAAGTTTTACAAAACTGCAAACAAAAAAATGTGATCATGTGTAAAGGCCCTGATATACTGATGGCGAAGTAGTTCTGCGTTTTTGGTTTAGAGGTAAAGAGAAGTTGGATATAAGCAAGCAGTGGTTTACTGTTAGCTGCTGAGAGCGGCGTTTAGATGACTGGAAATATATGCTGCGGGATTTCCTCTCAATGACAAAATAAACACAACAAACGGAGAAAACAGCAGTTCAGAAAGCATCTGATCATAGCGATGTGGATGATTACACCAGATCTGTAATCTGCACTCCAGTAAAGTCACGTCACGTTTATTTATAAAACACTTCACACAATAAACTGGTTTAAAGCAAGCAGCTTTATAGTATTAAACATGAAAAAACAGCATCAGTGTCGCTTTCAGTTAGAACATCATCCTGACTTTCTACTATAAATCAGCTCTATATGAATATGTGACCCTGGAGCACAAAACCAGTCATAAGGGTCAATTTTTTGAAATTGAGATTTATACATCATCTGAAAGCTGAATAAATAATCTTTCCATTGATGTATGGTTTGTTAGGATAGGACAATATTTGGCTGAGATACAACTATTTGAAAATCTGGAATCTGAGGGTGCAAAAAAATCTAAATATTGAGAAAATCATCTTTAAAGTTGTTCAAATGAAGTTCTTAGCAATGCATATTACTAATCAAAAATTAAGTTTTGATATATTTACGGTAGGAAATGTACAAAATATCTTCATGGAACATGATCTTTACTTAATATCCTAATGATTTTTGGCATAAAAGAAAAATCTATAATTTTGACCCATACAATGTATTGTTGGCTATTGCTACAAATATACCCCAGCGACTTAACACTGCTTTTGTGCTCCAGGGTCACATATGTATAGAATATGTATAATATAACTCAATATTTTAATGAATTGCAAAAGCTGAATAATCAATCAAAGCCTACTGGTTAATCGTGTAATAATGGACGATTAGTTGATGAATAATTCTAATAATCGTTATATTAATCGGTTTGTTGCAGCCCTAGTCAGAGATCCAGTCAGATGTGGGACAGATTTGTTGAAATGCGTCATGTCTTCGTGTCTGCAGCTGTCGAACATGCTGCCGGCTCTGATGGGTCCGGTTCTGCTGGGCTCACACGTCTCCACCACCAGCCTGTGGTTCACCATCGCTCTGCTGGTCACTACGGTCTCTCACTGCGGCTACCACCTGCCCCTGCTTCCCTCGCCTGAGTTCCACGACTACCACCATCTCAAGTAAGTGCAGGCCGCAATGTCAAGAGTTTCAAGAAAAACGGTTGAAGTAAAGCGAGCGTTTCAGAGTCCTGGGACTGTGATACATTCCCAAAGTATACTTCGGTTTTTTACACGCATGCTAGCGCAGGTGCAGGCGTATCCGCATAGCTTTTCAAAATACACTCCATCTGATGTAATTGTGTACACACACACACACAC